CCCCAAAACCCCAAAACCCCAAAACCCCAAAACCCCTTTCTTAGTACAAATAATTGCAACTTCAATATGGGTTTAATAAAATAAGTTGCAATATAGCAAGCTAAAAGTGATACTTCTCTCTGAGATGAGGGTCTGCCTCCATCATTTCATTGATAATGGAATCAATGAACTTCTCACTATGATTCCACTTATGGGAATATCTTTTGATAATATCAAGGGACTCCTCGTGTCTCTTGAGTTTGCAAAGAACAACACTAACCCAGAAGAATGCCTTTTCTTTCTTTGATTCGAAGCCTTCTTCCGAGTAATACTGCTTGCGATAGAATAGGTTTAGGAGGAACTCTACTAGAGAACCCAGACCTTCTTCAAGAAGCTCGTTGTAGTCTCTGGAAGTAAGAGCTTGCATGGCTCTGTCATCCCTAGTATCTTCGAAACTGATCAAGTCAGGGTACTTGCTCTCCTCATTTTCCTTCTGCAAGTTTATCTTGGCAAGGTAGTCCAGCACAATTCGTCAACATAGTTTTCCTTTTTCTAAGAAATATTTAGGGTCTGAGAATGACCTGAATGTGATATTTTTAGAAGGATTCACGTCATTTTCCATAAATTCCTTCTCAGTTACGTCAATGCTCAAATCTGGATTGGAGAGATCAAGGAGATTAGCTGTTTCATTATGCTCCTTTGGTGTTAAGAGAGGAAGCTCCTTTTCATCTTCATTTGTCTTCTCGGTAATCCTCAATAAATTGTCTGCGCTTTGGTCATAATCAAAGAGATTCCTGTGTGCGTTCCCAAGAAAGTTCTCCCTAGCTGTTTTAGATTTCCGCTCTGGAGACTTGTCTGACATAAGGGAACAATCGTGTCTAGAGGAAGATCCTTCTTTCATGATGAGTTTGGAAATGTTAATCTTTTCCATTTGGGTAAAATCCAACATTGGAATTGCTCCACCCCTGATGTTGTAATCTTCAGTATCCTCTGAAGTCTGATCCCTCTGATTGTGAATCAGCTTTCTGAATTTTTCAAGATCGTAGTCGTCGGGCAGGGAGGGAACCAAGGAATTTATTCTATCTAAGATCTCTATTGCTGTTTTGAATTTTCCTTGGAAGTCGTAAGTATGATAGATGAGATCTAAAGCTCTAACGTACTCACAAGTGCTGATGGTCTCGTTATTCTCTATTAGAACAGAAAGTTGTTCTCGGAGATATACCATTGTGGTGAGATCCTTGTGTTTGAATGCCATCTCAAAGTAATAGATGCATAATTTTATGTCTGTGTATCTGTGTTTATATACTCCGTCAATCATTATTATTAAATCAATCGAATCTTTGAGTACACAAGAATGCAATTTTAGTTTTACTAAATCTGAATATTTTCTGTCAACGATTTGGACAACTTCTAACTCCCTCAGAGCTTTATCATATTGGTCGAGGGAGAGAACGGCATTTTCCTCAATCAATTTTATTCCAATTCGATAGCTTTTTCAATATTCACTTTGTATGGCAAAATGAAGGATTCGATATACTCAATACGCTTCTGATCTCTACTGGGTTCCAAATGTTTTAGAGCTTCCATGAAGAGTTTGTAGCCTATCATGATGTTGCCTCTCAGAATCTCAATCTGGGCCATGAGGAAGTAAACATCTCTATTTCTTTCGATTCAGCCACGCATTTCTATTTCTTCCAAGACTCCCATTGCTTCACCGACATACTCTGTATTTCCAAAATGAGTTACAATTCTTGCAAATTCCATTAAAAGTGAAAGCTTGTCACCATCTTCCTGATACTGTGTTCAGATAGTTTTAATGGCAAGACTAATTAAGCCTTCAGAAGCACAGACTCTAATAAACAGCAGGGTCAATAGCCTGTGTCTGACCTCATTGTGCTGCTCAACAAAATCAGCTGTATCATTAAGAAAAAGGTAAATTTTTAGGAAAAGCTGAAAGATCTCTTTAGGTTTCTCCAACTTCTGATTGTAATGGTACAGCCTAATGTAAGCATAAGTCTTGTTAGGCTCAGTTTCAATGCAATCATGCAACACCTCCATTCATTTATCAATTTGGTCTGTGGTAGCATAGATCTCTGCCCATGCGATATACCCAAGGTATTGATTCAGGGATTTTATTTCAAGAGCAGAATCTCTTGCCTTGCTCAGTGCAAAATCTGATTTATCAATCTTTGTGTATTCATAAAGCTTGATCCGCAAGCGGATCCACTTTATGTTTACATTGAACTGTGATAAGCGCTCGAACTTGCTCAATAGAAGCTTGAGAATTGAGAAATCTTCGAAATCTCTGGTCTCCATCCATATGTAAAATTTTGAAACTATTTTCCAGAATAAGAAGAGAATGTTATCTTCAACAAGAGAAGCCTTGTCAAAATAGTTGAATGCCTTTGCGAAATCAGAAACAAATAAAGAGATCATGCCTTTGAAGGCGAAATAGCATGGCATTATTTCACCCTCTGGCATCTGATCTGTAATCATGGATAAAGTCTGAGTGGCATAGATAGCCTGTTGGTCATTGAGTAATTCTATGAGAAGGTTGGGCTCTTCTGGCAAGAAGAGCCAATCTATCGCATGCTCTATTAAATGATACTGAAACAAGTAATAAACATCATGCTTAGTGTATCTCGGAGTGTACGAAAGCTCCATTTTGGGTTTTTCATCTTCCTGATAAGACTCTGCTTGGCAAATTTGGTCTTTCTTATGCAGCTGGATTTGCTTCTCCCATTCTTGTTGGATATATTTTTCCTCCTCGCTTAAACTATCTTCATGATCAGGAAGTCCTTCAAGGAAGGACTTGGAGATCATTTGGCTGATACTATCTTCATGTTTTAGATACGATGTTTGGAGCTCTTGATTGGATTCATGACCAATCTCTTGTCTGAAATTTTCTTGAAGTTTACCAATGACGCTAATGTTGTCATCAATACTAATATCCCTTTCACTATTTTCTGGGACATCAAAATGTTCAGTCTTCATTTCACTATTAAGCCAAATTGTTGAAAGAGCGTCGGTGTCAGTATCGCTATCATCGTCAACTGGGTAATTCATGTCGAAAGACTCAGTAAGGAGAAGTCTTTTGGTTTTATAGTAGTCCTTTCTTGAAGTATTAAAATCCATTGGAATTTGGTCACCCTCAATTTGGAATTCAGAGTTTTTGTAATTATTTTAAATAATTATCATCTTTGTTGGGCAACTTGTCAAGCTTGAGAGATGGCATGTCAAACCTTTTGCTTTTCTGCATTGGGCTCTTTGGTATCTTTGGGGCCTCTGTAATATTAATTCGCAATGACATAATTTTTGTTTTTAACTCTAATTATTATTGGTCTTCAAACTTTCTAAAATTTATAGGGGTTTTGGGGTTTTGGGGTTTTGGGG